GGTCTCTGTGAATCATAGTCTAACAACAGTCCATTTTAGACATGGGAAAATTGTGACCAGAGTCAGCCTGGAGACAAGTGCTCTTGACTGTTATTACACTTTTCACAAGCTCTTGCTTCTTTTCTCCAGTGGTGTGTATTTGTGTGTGTGTGTGTGTGTGTGTGTGTGTGCACGCGTGCACGCAGTTTCAAGGCTTATAAATATGCAAGAAGCAAGAAAATGTTAGAAAACGAATGTTTCTTTAAAATATATTAAAAGAGAGACTCACGTACTCACTGATTGCTGTTGAGTTGGAACTGACTCATAGATGACTCTCCAGCGGGTTTTCAGAGACAGTTAATCGCATGGAAAGAGTGTCCATCTTCCTTCTGTAGAATAGCTGACGGATTTGATTCACCTGTTTTGGGGTTGACAGTGCAACTCTTTTTACTCACTAGGACACTAGAATGTTCTGTTTAGTCTGGAAAGATAGTTGAAAGAAACTTCCTTATCTGGCTTTATCCTCTTGTTGTTAGGTGCTGTCATATGAGTATGAGTCATAGTGACTCTGAACAACTGATCTGAACACTGTCCTATCCTGTGCCTTCTTCACAATCTCTGACACACTCAAGCCCTTTTCCTCAGTCACCATTTCAACCCACCTGGTTGAGGGTCTTCCTCCCTCCACCTTTCTTAGCAACATTTTCAAAGTATGTGAGATGAGGCTTCACCATTCCCTGCAGGGAGCACTCTGGCTGTATCTTCTCTATGACATATCTGTTTTATGTGTTCTTTTGGCTGTCCATGGGATCTTCAACACTCTTTTCCAACAGCACAGTTCAAAGGCATCAATTATTTGTCTGTCATCCTTATTCATTGTCTAGCTCTCAGATGCATAAGAAGTGACTGAAAAGACCATGGCCTGAATTGGGTGCACCTCTGTCCTCAAACTGACATCATTACTCCTCAATAATTTGGAGAGGTCCATTACTGCAGGCTTTCTCAGTACAAAAAGTGCAATACATTTATCCTCTTAGTTTAGGACAATTTTGAGAAAAACCTTCTTGTTGTTATGTAGAGTTGCAGCTAACTAATACTTGAACCACCAGAGAGATAGCAGAGGCAGTAAAATAGTAAATCACATAGGAAGAAGTTGTAGCTTAGCTGGTGGATTTGAACCTTGTACCTGGAGAAGAGTATTGAATGTACCATGGACTGACAAGAAAACAAACAGATTCATCCTGGAGAGGGTTAAACCACGCTGCTCCTTGGAGGCAAGGATTCTGGGGCTTCGTCTGACATACTTTGGACATGTTGTAAGGAGAGACAGGTCTTTAGAGAGGGACATCATGCTGGGTAGAGTAGAAGGACAGCGCAGGAGGGGAAGACCCTCTATGAGGTGGATTGATTCAGTGACTGGGATAATCAGGATGGGTGTGTCAGAGGCAATGATATTGGCACAGGATAGAGCAGGGTTTAGGGCTGTTGTTCCTAGGGTTGCTATGAGTCACAAATGACTCGACGGCACATAACAACAACAATAACCTTTGGATTGGCAATACAGCTCCTTACCCACTAAACCACCAGAGTCCCTCATTAAGTTAGTCTTTTGCTGATGGTCACCTCCCCATCCCGAAATCTAAAGCTGAGAGTAATTTTCAATAACAGAATAGTAATACCTGACTTTTTATCAAAAAGTATCATTTCACTGAATAAAAAGAAACCTTTAATAGTTTTATTATTTTTTAAATTGAGATTTTAATGAAAGTTTCTAGAGAACTTGGATTTCCATTCATTCATTGTTGCACATTTTACTGCCTGCCCACCTCTACCCACAGTTCACTTTTCTCTTTGAAAAAAAAATAAAATTATTTCATTGTTGTACAATCCCCTACCCCAACCCAAGTCCACTTTACTATGCAGCTGTTATTCTGGACTATGTCATGAAAACAGTACCCAATCATATATTCCTTTTAAGCAGTTCTATTCCTCATCTGTTTCAATGCAATGTACATTATGTATCCCCTCTTTTCTTAGTTTTCTCCCAACCTCCATATCAGTCCTGTTTTATAGCAATGACATTATGCAGTATTTGTCCTTTTGTGACTGAGATATTTCATTCAGCATAATGTCCTCCGGGGTCACCCATTTTGTATAATGTTTCATTAGTTCCTTGTTTTTCAGTGTTGCATAGTATTCCATTGTGTGGATATACCACAGCTTCTCTATCCATTTGTTTGTTGATGGGCATTTGGGTTATTCCCATCTCTTTGCTATTGTGAACAAAGCAGCAATAAACATGGGTGTGCATATATCTGTTTGGGTGGCAGTTCTGATTTCTTCAGGGTATATTCTCAGTAGTGGAATTACTAGGTCAAATTATTAGGTCCAAGTTTTTTAGAAAGCACCACACTGCCTTCCGCAGTGGTTGCACAATTTCACACTCCCAACCAACAGTGAATAAGGGTTCCAGTTTCTCCACAACCTTGCCAGCATTTGTTTTTGCTGCTTTATTGAATTTTGCTGTTGTTACCGGGGTGAGATGATATCGCAGTTGTTTTGAGCTTTAATAGTTTTGAACTTTAATTGAGTTATTCTTAGGTTTGCTATGAATCATAGGCTCCTTCATTCCCATTTTGGATTCACCTTTACATGCAATGCTGAATCAGCTAGCAGGAGAGAGGCCATTTTGAAAGCCAGATATATGCAACTACAGAACTGCATATCTCCTTTTCTAAGATAACTCCATCTCTCCCTCTTAAAAGTGCCAAATGAACATGAGCTCTTCATCATGCCCTTAACCTGTTGTTGTCCTTATGTGCTATAGAGACTATGTCTCATAGCAACAGTTGTTGTTGTTATGTGCCATCGTGTTGCCTGTGACTCATAGGGACCCTACGTACAACAGCCCTAAACCCTGCTTGATCCTGTGCCAATCTTATTGTCTCTGACACTCCTACCTCCATTACCCCAGTCACTGAATCAATCCATCTCACTGAGGGCCTTCCTCTCTTGTTCTGTCCCTTTACCCTCCCAAGCATGACGTCCCTCTCCAAGGACTGTTCCTGGCTTGCAACATGTCCAAAATATGTCAGACGAAGCTTCAGAATTCTTGCCTCCAAGCAGCAGCTTCGTCTCATCCTCTTTAGGACAAGTCTGTTTGTTCTCCTAACAGTCCATGCTCATATTCAATACTCTTCTCCAGCACCACAGCTCAAAGGCATAAATTCTCCTTCTATCATCCGTAGTCATTGTCCAACTTTCTGATGCATAGCAAGTAATGGCAAAGACTATGGCCTGGATCAGGCACACCTTAGTCTCCAGACTGACATCATAGCTACAGATATGAACAGATAATCTGAACCTTGCGCTACCTTGTTCCTCCCCATCATCTCTGATATTCTCGAGTCCATTGTGATAGTCACCATGTAAATTCATCTTGCTGAGAATCTTCCTCTCCTACATCAACAGTCCAAGAATGATGTTCTTCTTCAAAGCCTGGTCCCTCCTAACAACATACCCAAAGTATTTGAGATGAAGCTTCACTATCTTTGCTTTCAAAAGCACTTTGGTTGCATTTTCTCCAAGATGTATTTGTTCTGTTGCAGTTCATAGAATATTCAGTACTCTCCCAGAGCACCACAATTCAAATACATCAATTCTTCTTCTGTAACCCTAATTCATTGTCCAATTTTCAGATATATAGCAAATAATTTAAAAGACTATGGCTTGGATAAGGCACACCTTAGTTTTTAAACTGACATCATTGCTCTTTAGCACTTTGGAGAGGTCCCTGACAGCAGATTTTATCAATGCAACTTGTCTTTTGATTTATTATGATTGGTACCAAGTGTGTTGATTGTGGATCTAAGCAAGATAAAACTATTGACAATTTAAATTCTTTATCCATCTATCATGTTGTTGCCTACTTGACCTAGTGGTGAGGATTTCAGTTTTGTTTTTTTTGAGATGTAATCCATATTGAAATCTTTGATCTTTTTCAGTAAATGTTTCACGTCCTCTTAACTTTCAGCAAAATTTCAGGAATTACCATATGAATAAGAGCCAATGTTAATAAAAGAAGAGGTTCAATCTGTGTTGAAGGTGTTGACAAAAAGTAAGGTCCCAGGAATTGATGGGGTACCAACTAAAATGTTTCAGCTAACCCTAGATAATGCAACCCTAATCATGCTCACAAGACAATGCTAGGAAATTTGGAGAACAACTGTCTGGTTGACTTACCGGAAGAGATCCACATTTGTTCCCATTTTTAAGAAAGGTGATCCAGCAGAATGTGGAAATTATTAGATAATATAATTCATACCACATGAAAGCAAAATATTGCTGACGAGCACTCAAAAATGGCTAGAACAGTACATTGACAAAGAACTGCTAAAAGTTCAAACTGAGTTTAGAAGAGGCCATGACACCAGGGATATCATTTATGATGTTGGATGGATGCAGATTAAAAGTAAAAAATACCAGAAGAATGTCTACCTGCGTTTAATTGACATGCAAAGGCATTTGACTGTGTAGATAATAACAAACTATGGCTAACATTGAGAAGAATGGGAATCCTAGAGGACTTAATTGTGCTCTTACTAAATCTCTATCTAGACCAAGAAGCTGCTGTCCAAATGGAGCTAAAGAAAAGGGCACGGGTGTCCATCAGGGATGTATTCTCTCTCCATGTCTATTTAATCTATATGCTGAGTAAGTAATTCATGAAACTAGTCTCTATGAAGGGGAATATGGCATCAGAATTGAAAACAGATTCATCAACAACCAGTATTATGAAGATGATACAACCTTGCTTGCTGAAAGTGAGGAGGACTTGAAATGCTTGCTGCTGATGATCAAAGATTACAGCTTTCAATAAGGATTACATCTCAACATCAAGTAAACAAGTCTTCATCACTGAGGCAATAGGCAATATCATGATAGATGTAGAAAAGATTAAAGATTCATTGATTTCATTTTGCTTCGATCAACAATGTATTGTATGGCAGCGGCTTTCTGGCAGCTCAGGACTGAAGAGCAAGTAATAAAGTCACCATGATTCTCCAGAGGCTCTTCAGATTTTCCTCTCTCATTCAGTCAGCGGTCTCAGTCCATTTCAAGAGGAACATTGGTGTTACAGCAGTGGCATTTAATAAAGAACTTGATCCTATACAGAAACTTTTTGTGGACAAGATTAGAGAATACAAATCTAAACGACAGGCATCTGGAGGACCTGTTGATGTTGGCCCAGAATATCAACAAGATTTGGAGAAGGAGCTTTTTAAGCTTAAGCAAATGTATGGTAAAGCAGACATGAATACCTTCCCTACCTTCAAATTTGAAGATCCTATATTTGAACCGGCTGAAAAACCCCAGTCCTAAAGCATTATGTAAAATTAGTTTGGTAATTTGTTATGGATTGATTGTACAATTAAAAGTAGTATCAAAATAAACATATTATTTCACAGTTGTCAAAACAAAAACAAAAACAAAAACAATGTATTGTACTAGGCAAGTCTGCTGTCTGAGATTCTTCAAAATAGTAAATAGCAATCATGTCAGTCTGAAGATAAAATGTGCCTGATTCAGGACATGGTCTTTCAGTCACTTACCATGCATCTGAGAGCTGGATAAGGAATAAGGATGACAGAAGAACTGATGCCTTTAAGCTGTGGTGTTGTAGAAGAGTACTGAATAGCCCATGGACTACCAAAAGGACAAAAAGATATTTCTTGGAAAAAGTGCAGCCAGAGTGCTCCTTAGAGGCAAAGATGTTGAAACTTTGTCTCTCATATTTTGGGCATGTTGGTAGGCGAGGCTATTCCTTGGAAAGGGACATCATGCTTGGAAAGGTGAAGGTCAGTGAAAGTGAGGAAGACTCCCAACAAGACAGATTGACACAGTAACTTCAGCAACTGTGCTTGAGTGTGTCAGTGTAAAAAGAGCACGGGCTGCATGGGGATGGCTCTGTCTGACCTTCATTGACTTCTCAGAGGTGAACTGTTCCTGTCAACAGCATCAACGACACAAAACCAATTCCCAGGAGGCCAGATATATGCCCCCCCAAGCACCTGTACCTATTTCTGCTCATCTTAGTACCAATCTTACTGCTTCACTAGGTCCAAAATCTGATTCAATAGCTCAAAGACCATACAGAGAGGTCAAAAGATTAGAATCCAGGTTAATAGCAGAATACAGTCAGGAGAGCTCTCAGGCACGTCAACCTTGAACCTCATGGTTGCAGACCAGTGTTACAAGTTCTTAGTCCTGCCAATATTGACGCCCTCCTCCTACACTGGTCATTCAACAAACTTGGCAAACGCTCTTAGCTTAAGCTCTGATTCTGTCGGTGCAGATGTTGGCTCTGTGTTCCTCCACTTCAGTTGCTATGGCTGTTGCTTTGATCCTAAGAGAATTGCGATCTCTTGTTTCTTCTTCTTCTTCTTCTTCTTTTTTTTTTTTTGCTAGTGGGGAAAAGTGCCTTTTTCTGTTTGCTACTGGACCACCCAATTAAATGGAGAGACTAGCCAATCTCTGTATGGATTGGTGAGCTAGCCCTTATGGCTAGGCTAACACACTCTATTTGCATATCCCTGCCCACCCACATGGCAAAGCCAGGCAATGGCTAGGAAACAAATTTTTAATGAACTCTTAAATCCACGGTCAGAGATGCTGAAGATGACACAGGATAGGACTGAGTTCCTATCTGATGTTCACTGTGGTTCTATAAGTCATACTCGAAGGCACCCAACAGTTTCAGCAAGCAAGGCTATGTCATCTGCATAACAGATGCTGACTCTTCTTCTTATCCTGATGCCACATTCTTTAAAAAGGTCCAGCTCCTTGAATAATTTGCTCAGCATACAGATTTAATATGTATAGAGAAAAGATACAGCCCTAACACACACCTTTATTCAAAACTATGCTGTGTTTCATTGCTCTGTTTGGACAATGGCCTCTTGGTCTAGGTATAGGTTTTGAATGAGCACAAATAAGTGCTCTGAGGTAGCCATTCTTTTCAATGTTAATCATTTGTTGTGATCCACAAAACCAAATGCCTCTTCCTAGTGAATAAAAATGCAAATATATATCCTTTTGGTATTGTTTTCTTTCTGTCAGGATTCCTCTGACAATAGCAATGATATCCCAAGTTCCATCTCCCTGAATTTAAAAACCAACTCAGGAATAGGTTTGAGACCTTGAACACTCATGAACGAAGACCAGATGAGCTGTGGAAAGATATCAAGAATATAATTCATAAAGAATGCAAAAAGTCATTACAAATAAGAAAGAAGGAGAAAAGACCAAAATGGATGTCAGAAGAGATTCTGAATATTGCAGTAGAGCACTGAGAAGCCAAAGCAAAGGGAAGAAATTAAGAAGTTAAGGAGCTGAATAGAAGATTTCAAAGGGCAGCTCAGGAAGACAAGGCAAAGTATTATAATGAAATGTGCAAGGAACTGGAGTTGGAAAATCAAAAGAGCCGAACTCATTCGGCATTTTTTAAGCTGAAAGAACTAAACAATAAATTCAAGCCAAATGCTACAATGCTTAAGGATACTATAAACAGAATATTGAATAGTTCAGGAAATATTAAAAGAAGATGGAAGAAGTATACAGTTATTATACCAAAAAGGATTGCCTGAGATAAAAGAATTTCAAGAAACAAAATATGATCAAGAACCAAGGGTGATGGACCAGGAAGTTCAGGCTGCTCTGAAGGACTTGGTAAGAAACAAAACCCCAGGAATTGATGGATTACCAATTGACATATTTCAACAAATAGATGCTGCCCTGGATGTGCTCACCAGGTCATGCCAAGACATCTGGAGGACAATTACTTGGCCAACCGACTGGAAGAGAGCCATATTTATTCCCATTCCAAAAAAGGGAAAAAAGGTGACCTGGCAGAGTATAAAAACTATTGAACAACACCACTAATATCACACACAAACAGAATCTTGCTAAAAAAAAATAAAATAAAAATTAAAAAACAAAACAAAACAATTTTTAAAAAAAATCTTGCTGAAGATTATCCAAAAATGACTGGAACATTGACAGAGAACTGCCAGAAACACAAGTTGGGTTTAGAAGAGATCGTGGCACTAGAAACACTATTGCCAGTGCCAGATGGTTCTTGGGATAAAGCAAAGAGTATCAGAGGGATGTTTATCTGTGTTTCGTTGACTATGCAAAGGCATTTGAATGTGTGGATCACAACAGACTGTAGTTAACCTTGAAGAGCATGGAAATCTCAGAACACTTGATTGTTCTTATGTGAAACCTGTACTTGGGCACATATTTATCATTCCTGAATTATTACTGTATTATTATATATTATATATATGAATTATTATAATTATTACTCAGATAGACAGTGATTTTGTGGGAAATTACTAGCTCTCCCCATCATATGTACAAAAATAAATTTTAGCTAGGTTAAGACTTTAAATATAAAAAGTGAATTCACTCGGCCCTCGGCTCAGGGTGAGCTGTCGCAGCCCTCAGGGTGAGCTCCTCAGTCCCCAGTTTGTGCCATTGTCCCCAAATTGACCCCTGGGTGGGGAAGGAGAAAAAAAAAAAGCATGCCTAGGGTATCCAGAGAATGTTACCTAGGCCACCTTCTGCCACCCTCTCCCCCCCCAGTAAGCCTGAAAGCAACACCCTCAAAGCCCTTCTATTTGTAACTCACAAGTTTGTTCTCTCTAGGTTTGCTCCCTTTCCTATAGGTAACCTTAACACTGAGTTTTACTCCAGAATTGACCCTGAACCCAGTGCCAGTGACAAAAAGGAAATACAACTGACAGCTAAGGAAGCAAAGGAGGATGGAGCCTCTGGGTTCAACCAGCCATCCCCACTGGACCCACCTGGGAAAACACTTTGCAGTCCAGAGAGGAGCAAATGACAGGAAAATATCTTCTAACAGAGCAAGAAGGCAAGCAGCTTTAACCCAAGACCACCAGTAAGGTGATAAAGTGTCCTCCCTTCCCCCCTTTATATCTACGCTCCTGTTCAGCATGAAGAAGCCAGAGAGTCGGCATCCAATTCCCAAATCAATAAGACAGTTGGTTTAATTACCATTGGAAAATGCTTGTCATTCTTCTGTAGTATCTGGTCCCCTCTGGACCCTCATCATTTCCTTCACCTGCTCCCCCCACCGACCAAACTGTGTAGCTCTGCAACTGCATCCTGGCCCATCCTCACCTTTCTGCCCCCAACCCTCACCTCCTTGTACCCCCAATATGTTTTTCCCAATTAAAAAAAGGAAAAAAGTAAAAAAAATATATATCTATTATAATTAAAAAAAAAAGGGGGGGAAGTGAATTCATAAAATATTAGAGGAAAAATGAGTACCTACTTTTAAAAGTAGGTTCTGTTGCCTGAGAAATGTGGTTCTGCTGCCAGAAAACCAGTCTTGGAAACAGGGGTTGGGGTTATTATTATTATTATTATAAGCAGCTTTATTCTCTATGCTCACCCACAGAGGTGGAGTATCAGCTTCCCAAATCTTCTCAGTAAGAAAGAGCTCTGAGGAAGTATTCTTAGGCTAGGTTAAGGGTGGGGAAGAGTTCATGTTTATTCAGCACTTTAAGGAGGAAAAGGAGAGGTTATCTTCAGAAAGGGAGAGATTAAGTAAATCAGTAGACAGGAACAACTGGCCCCTAAGAAGAGTCACTCCCGTTCATCACAGGACATTCTCTGTAGGCAAGTTTTCTTCGTCTTTCAAGATGGTGTCTGTCTGCTTGGATGCTTGGTCATCATGAAACATGTCCTTTTTGATAGCTGTCTTCTACAAGGTCATACATTTGTATAGCACCTGAAAAGCTCTTAGCAGAGTTAAAGGTTATTAAGAAGGAATACCTGGCGGTGCCCAGACTACTTATTTAGGGTATGTTCATATATATTAGGGTCTTGAGATGCCTGCATTTGCTGAATGCTGGTCTTCGTCATTGGAATGATCGCTCAAGAGAGAAAGACTTTAATTCAGCACATCATATAAATGTTAGATTCCAGTACTGATGTATTAGATGCCAGGATCAATCTTCATGTTCTCTCAAGAAGGTTGCCACCAACAAAGACTCACAAAAACTAATTGTTCCCAGTTTATTAGCAAAAGAAATATAAACAGATAGGTACAGTATACTAAGAGTCAGACTTCATGTCCCCTCTTTTGAGTGAGAAGGAACATTGGTCTAGGAGCAGAGTTCCAATATTTATGGGGTCGTCTCCCTAACTAACTTTCCTCTTAAAATCCACAAGAGGGTCAGCTATTAGTCAGTTCCAACTTGACAGAACACAATTCCTTAATCTTCTTTCCAATTAGTGGCTTTTCCTGATTGGTGGTAAGAGGCTTCTCTTTCTTACATTTTAATAACAGCTGTCCCCCATGTTCACATCCCCACACCCTAAGGCTGTGGTGTCTTAGGTACAAACAGAGCACGGAGTGGCAGTTGTTGCAGACCCTAGTTCTGTTTTT